TATTAGTTCTGATCACAACTGTTATTGTTACTGTTATTGTTCCTGTTCAAAAAGGTCTCGAGGACCTCATCAAATCTCATAACGGTGAGCATTTGAATATAACAAGTGGGCATGACTCTTTGGCAAACAGGCTAACTCGTCATTTTTTGTTTGTTTACTGGGCCCTGTATGTATTGCGCAAAGGTAAAACCAGGCTATAACAAGAGCGCATGACTATGTTAACACATGGTGTTGGTCCCGTTATAACATGGGCAAATTAGGGAAAATAACCGATTTTATGCTATGATATATGGGTTAACTACGTTTTTCCGTGTTATAACGTCTGCAGAGTGTCAAGAAACGTGTGGTGCCCGAGCCCGGTAGGGCGAGGGCTCCAACAGTTCCGAGGGACTCTGCAAACCTTGCAACTTTTATATATGCATTAATCTGAAATTTTATTTCAGCTTTTCACTAAAAGTCTCTGAAGTGATAAGGTGACATCGCTTTTGTACCAACAAGGCAACGTTGGTAGATAAAAGTCTATATAAAACATTTTGTCTCTGGAGTGATGAGGTGAAATCACTTTTCTGCTAACAAGGCAACGTTGGTAGATAAAAGTCTATATAAAACATTTTGTCTCTTGAGTGATGAGGTGTAATCACTTTTCGGCTAACAAGGCAACGTTGGTAGATAAAAGTCTATATAAAACATTTTGTCTCTTGAGTGATGAGGTGAAATCACTTTTCTGCTAACAAGGCAACGTTGGTAGATAAAAGTCTATACATTTTGCCTGAGTTGTGTTTATTGTAACATTAGCGCAAGCAGACTGTCAATACGGTCTAAAGACCAAGCACTATATCTCGCTGGCTGTTTGGTGAATATAGTGTAATTAGTCTGCTTGTTACAGCTATGATACGTGTAATAATCAGCTCGAACAACTAATGCTCCGTCTGTGATTAGCGCTCTATTCCCATCACTGTATGGCGTGCGATATCAGTCCAGATTGGTCTCTTGATGAATAGACGAGAGATTGAAGGGTGGGTTGAGTCGTGTTGGTTATACACGCTACATAATGTTACTGAGTCTTGGTCATAAACACAACTTTACCTTCAGGCGTAAAAATGTTTTGACGCTGTTGCTTGATGAGGCGAAATCAGTAAAAGAGTTCTTATCAAAATTTTCATTCAGTGACAGAAAAAACGTTTTGGTCCGGGAATGATACTAGCAAACATTTTTTTCAATTTCTCTTCAATGCTTGTTTGCAAGATAAATTGTTAAATGTTTGCTAACGGTCGCAAGTCCGTGTAAAATCAGAGCGTCGGAACAAAATGTATACATCTTGTGAAAAACATCTATAAAACATCATTTCAATGAATACATGAATACAGATCATTGCAAGATTGATTTTTCTTAGCTAGAGCAGAGTCAATGGAAATTAAACATTTTCAGTTTTAAAATGTTTACATAGATGTTTCCTTTTGTGAATGAGTTTTTTTTTAAATATTTAAGTGATTTTTTTGCGTTTTGTTTGTTTGTTTTTGTTTTGTTTTTTTTTATTGCTAGCAGAAAGCTTTTTCTGCATTGATTTTGTCAAATGACTCGCATGAAATCCTAAACTCGGCGACAACGAGCAGGGTAGCGCCTTGTGATACCCCTGCCATCTAACAGTTAATACGATTGCAAATTATTTGCTTTCGGGGGACCGAGTGCTATGGATAGTATTCTGTTCATTAATTGAAACATATCATTCAAGCAATGTTCAGTTTTGATAAATTGTCTAAAGTGCATATGTAAAGAGTCTTGATTAAAAAAAGCTGCTTAGCATACTGCATAGTAAGAGTTTTATGAATGTTTTAATAAAACAGATGAACAGAATGTAACTCGTATGAATCATTTGTTTCGTTTGGCAACAAAAGTAAAGTAAGCATTAATATTAAGTGTTATTTGATTCGAAAAAGTTTAAAATGATACAATTGGCCTGGGTCGAATTTACAAATAAGAAATAGATCTGAAATTAAATTAGATATTTGTACTTCTAAATATCTATACATGCTATAGTTCAAGCCTCTGTGGTTAGAATCGTCTTGGGATAATTGAGAACAACTATTGTGTTCCAAAATTTAAATGTTTTGATAGAGAGCCTGTTATACATAAATGCATAAGACAGTCTTCGACTTTGGACATGTTCAAGAAAAATGTCAAAACCTACTATTTTAGAGATTTTTACGCATTGTTTTAAGATTGTGATTGGGCTGTAAACTGATCGAGATGTGGAAATGTGTTTAAAATTTTACTGAAATAACCATTAATTTTTATTTTCTTTTAAATTATTTATTATTAGTATTTTTTTATAACTATTCTTTTTTGTAAGTTTTTAATTCTTTATATTTTACACGGCTGATATCTTTAACTTATTTTTTTGTAGTTCATTTGTCATGCATATGTGTTTTTTAGCTCACCTGTCACAAAGTGACAGGGTGAGCTTTTGTGATCGCTTTTCGTCCGGCGTCCGTCCGTCGTCCGTCCGTCCGCCCGTCCGTCCGTAAACTTTTACTTTAAATGACATCTCCTCATAAACCACCAAGCCAATTTCATCTAAACTTCACAGGAATGTTCCTTTGGTGGTCACCTTTAAAAATTGTTCAAAGAATTTAATTCCATGCAGAACTCTGGTTGCCATGGCAACCGAAAGAAAAAACTTTAAATATCTTCTTTTAAAAAACCATAAGAGCTATAGCTTAGATATTTGGCATGAAACATCTTCTAGTGAGTGTCTACCAAGTTTGTTCATATAAAAGCCCTGGGGTCAAAATTGGCCCCGCCCCGGGGGGTCATTGATTTTCCCTATATACATATAGTGAAAACTTAGAAAATCTTCTTTTAAAGAACCAAAAGAGCTACAGCTAAGATATTTAGCATGAAACATGTTTTAATGGGTGTCTACCAAGTTTGTTCAAATAAAAGCCCTGGGGTCAAAATTGGCCCCGCCCAGGGGGTCATTGATTTTCCCTATATGAATATAGTAAAAACATAAAAATCTTCTTTTAAAGAACTCAAAGAGCTATGGCTAAGATATTTAGCATCAAACATGTTCTAATAGGTGTCTACCAAGTTTGTTCAAATAAAAGCCCTGGGGTCAAAATTGGCCCCGCCCCAGGGGGGGTCATTGATTTTCCCTATATGCATATAGTAAAAACTTAAAAAATCTTCTTTTAAAGAACCAAAAGAGTTAAAGCTAAGATATTAAGCATGAAACATGTTCTAATAAGTGTCTACCAAGTTTGTTCAAATAAAAGCCCTGGGGTCAAAATTGGCCCCGCCCTGGGGGGTCATTGATTTTCCCTATATGCATATAGTAAAAATTTCAAAAATCTTCTTTTAAAGAACCAAAAGAGCTAGAGCTTAGATTTTTAGCATGAAACATGTTCTAATAGGTGTCTACAAAGTTTGTTCAAATAAAAGCCCTGGGGTCAAAATTGGCCCTGCCCCGGGGGGTCATTGATTTTCCCTATATGCATATAGTAAAAACTTAAAAAATCTTCTTTTAAAGAGCTCAAAGAGCTATGGCTAAGATATTTAGCATCAAACATGTTCTAATAGGTGTCTACCAAGTTTGTTCAAATAAAAGCCCTTGGGTCAAAATTGGCACCGCCCCAGGGGTCATTGATTTTCCTTATATGTGTATAGCAAAAACTTCGTCCGTCCGTCTGTAAACTTTTACTTTAAATGACATCTCCCCATAAACCACTAAGCCAATTTCATCCAAACTTCACAGGAATGTTCCTTTGGTGGTCACCTTTAAAAATTGTTCAAAGAATTTAATTCCATGCAGAACTCTGGTTGCCATAGCAACCGAAAGAAAAATCTTAAAATATCTTCTTTGAAAAAAAACCAAATAGCTAGGGTTAAGATATTAAGCATGAAACATCTTTTAGTGAGTGTCTACAAAGTTTGTTCAAATAAAAGACCTGGGGTCAAAATTGGCCCCACCCCGGGGGTCATTGATTTTCTTTATATGTGTATAGCAAAAACTTAAAAATCTTCTTTGAAAAAACCCAAATAGCTAGAGTTTAGATATTAAGCATGAAACATCTTCTAGTAAGTGTCTACAAAGTTTGTTCAAATAATAGCCCTGGGGTCAAAACTGGCCCAGTCCCAGGGGTGTCATTGTTTTTAACTATATGTGTATAGTAAAAACTTAAAAAAAATCTTCTTTCAATAAAGCCCAATGAGCTAGAGCTTAGATGTTTAGCATGAAACATCTTCTTATGGGTGTCTACCGAGTTTGTGCAAATAAAAGCACTTGGGTTAAATTGGCTCTGCAACGTTGGGGGGGGGGGGTGGGGGGCCTATATACAGGTGAGCGACCTCAGGGCCATCATGGCCCTCTTGTTTTTATCTATATGTACATACTTTTCTTATCCTTTTGTATAACGCCATTGAATATGTATATAGAAATAGGCGTTTAATTAAATAAAACAGTTTCAGTTTTCAGTTGTTTTTTTTGTAATATTTAAAAAAAAGGAAAATAACACCTTTTAACCAAAGGGACCCGGCACAGTGTTGGGATAGTGTAAAAAAAGTAATTATAGAAAAAAATATTATACTTTATATATAATATATAGACTATATATACAATATATATTAAAAAAAACAAAACTTTTTTACACTATCCCAACACTGTGCTGGGTCCCTGTGCTTTTAACTAATTTTCAACTGGGACCAAAATATCTTAAGTATTTCATTTCCAATTTTTTAACCAATTAACATCATAAATCACTCATTATGATAACAATTTGAATATATTTGTCTCCAAAACAAATATGCCTGGAAATTTTTTCCTTATTTAGGTGCCTCATAAATAGCGATGTGCGTGTGTGTGTGTGTGTGTGTGTGCGTGTGTGTGTGTGTGTGCCTACGAATATTACACAGCTAACAATTAGTGTTGTATGACCGTACAAAATTAATTTAGCGTCACTATGCCGTTTAATGAAAAGGACAATGACCAAAGTATTCCAAATATTACAGGAAGTAGAATTTTTTGACAGCTGGCGGTGTCGGTTTTGATAAGAATGGCAGGTAACGGCGGGTTTCAAGCTTCGGGAGGTTACAATGACAGGCCTCCGTCTTCTACTGGCAGCGGAGAACCAGATGTGGGTGTTGATCCTGCAAGCAGTAGTTTCTTTAACAACGAGTTTAAACGGTATACATTTCACTGCTTTGTTAAAAAGTGGGTGGGGTATGAATTTGATTCCTTGTGAGTTGGTCTATCCAAATCAGCTTATAATACTCCCAGCTGTAACAGCGCAATCAATAAAACCATGGTTTTTACTATAGTGTTTAGTGTACTTTTATGATTTTTTCACTTATCTTTTGTTCGGGACAGACAAAGAAATCAGGTGACTGTACGTCTGTGTAGAAATTAGTCCTAATTATAAGACCTATATGTAACCTATTTCATATTTATCATTCATTAATCTGATATTTTACATTTTCCATGTTACGTTAGGTCTTAACAGATCTTTGCAAAATCGTGTAGCAAAAAATTGACATTAGACATCAATTTAGATCTAATGAATTTAAACGATTAAAACAGCGTGTATTTACATTAAATTTAACATATTTATGAACAAAACAAAAAAATAAATACCTTTTAACAAAATAATTGAACTGTCACATCTGAAAAGTTATTAGCTCGACTATTCGCAGAATAATCGAGCTAATGCAGTCACCCATTTGTCGGCGTCTGCGTCCCTGTGGTTAAGTTTGTGTTTGTAAGCTGGTATCTCAATAACTACTGAAGGGAATGGATTGAAACTTCACACACTTGTTCTCTGTGATTATCTAAGATGATTGGCACAAGTCCCATAACTCTGATTTGCTTTTTTACATAATTATGCCCCTTTTTCGACTTAGAAATTCTTGGTTAAGTTTTTGTATCATTATGTAAGCTGGTATCTCCATAACTACTGAAGGGAATGGATTGAAACTTCACACACTTGTTCTCTGTGATTTTCTAAGATGATTGGCACAAGTCCCATAACTCTGATTTGCTTTTTTACATAATTATGCCCCTTTTTTGACTTAGAAATTCTTGGTTAAGTTTTTATAAATAAGCTGGTATCTTCATATCTACTGAAGGGAATGGATTGAAACTTCACACACTTGTTCTCTGTGATTATCTAAGATGATTGGCACAAGTCCCATAACTCTGATTTGCTTTTTTACATAATTATGCTCCTTTTTCGACTTAGAAATTCTTGGTTCGGTTTTTGTATGTAAGCTGGTATCTCCATAACTACTGAAGGGAATGGATTGAAACTTCACACACTTGTTCTCTGTGATTTTCTAAGATGATTGGCACAAGTCCCATAACTCTGTTTGCTTTTTTACATAATTATGCTCCTTTTTCGACTTAGAAATTCTTGGTTAAGTTTTTGTGTGTAAGCTTGTATCTCCATAACTACTAAAGGGAATGTATTAAAACTTGAAGGGTTTGTACCTTTTCGGACAATTTTATGTATTCATATAGGTAAGCATTATTATACTCAATGAAACACCCTTGTGACAAATTTTCGAATAGTAGAGCGTTATTGTCCTCCGACAGTTCTTGTTATTTAATCCACTCATTTAATTAAATTCCTTGTACAGCCGATATACAAATGGCCGTCATACAGTGCGCGAAATCTGATTGGCTAATTCAAATGCAAGCGTTTAAATGAGTCCAGAAGTTTCTAACGGAATATTTTTTCAACGAAATAATTGCCCATAAACCGTCCGTGTGTTCGAAAATATTTTTCCGTACAAAAAATTGAAATCAATCTGTAAAACGCTTTACTTAACCAGTATGGCCGATGAGCAAAATAGACTGATATTTATATTTTATTTTTAATTGATAAGTACATTGTTTGAAAGTTTTTGGTAATGATAGACCATGCAATTGAAAGAACAGAAGATAAGCTTTTGAATAAAGTTTGAAAGGCAAGTCAACAGCCATTTTTTTTAATTTTTCAAAATGCTACGCGTTTATGAGCAATAACTATTAGACGTCAGACTTGACCAACATAAAACTAAACAAGCCTGTAACGTCTAATCTATTGGACTAGGTAGAAATAAAAATCTGAAATGATCTCCTTTGCAGCAAGAAATAAATAAATTTTTATGCAATCTTATTGTCAAGTTAATATTTACCAGGCCATCCTTAAAAAAATGTTTGTTTGCAGTAACCCGACCCAGAATTTCCAAGGTGGGTAGGTAGGTGGATTTTTTTTTTTTTATTGAACTGTACTCCCAAATAAACATGGAATTTCAAAATGCTGGACAATATATGCTCGGTTACACGACTTACCGGAATCGGCCGAATAACCGGAATCGACCGGAATCAGCGGTGAATTACCGGAATCGACCTGTAACTTTGTAATAATTAAACTTTTTAAAGTTTTTTCTTGCAATTTTATAAAATATAAACAATATCAATGATTTATGAAAAGATTTTTATAAATAAAATCGCTTTTGATTAATTTATCAAGAGATCTAATATCGACGAGCTACTGCCAAACTGCCCGTGACCGGAATCGGCCTGTTATTTCGTTGTTTATGCAACTTTTAATGTTCCTTTTGCATGTTTTTATAAAACCTAAATATTATCATTAATCTTCCTAGAGATTGTGAAAAAATCGCTTTTAAATAATGATAATAATAAACAAATATTTATGATCAGCGAAAACGGGCAAACTGCCGAAATCGGCAAAGGATTACTGAAATCGGCCTGTAATTTGCTTATCTATATACTTTAAACAAAATGTTTGCACCCTTGATTATAAATAAACAATAGCAATGATATGTAATCAGATTATTGTCAATAAAATCACTTTTTATTAATTTAACAAGATATTTAATATCGGCGAGTTACTGCAATACTGTCGGAATCGGCGAAGGATTACCGGAATTGACGTATAATTTAGTCTATTGTACTTTTTTACGTTTTTGTTGCATAACTTGCATTGTTAATATTCATCTTATAAAATATAAATATTATGAAAGATATTTGAAAGTTTCTTTCTTTCTTTTATTTTGTAAATTTCAATTCGCCTTTGGTTAATAAAGCAAGATCGGCGAGTTACATATACTGTCATACAGCCGAAATAGGCGAATGATTACCGGAATCGGCCTGTATTATTGTAATTTATGGACTTTGCAAGAAAAAAATGCAAACAATATAATAGATATCTAAAAAGATTTCTGTAAATGAACAATCCTTATTAAATAATAAGCTAGAGATCTAAGGTTGGCGAATTACTGCCATATCGCATAATAATATGCAGTGCCAGGGCCATCGGACAATTACCGGAATCGGCCTGTTTTTCCCCACCAATATTTCAACGTTTGAAAAATAACCTTGACTTATTTTATTAAATACAAACAATTTAAAAGATTTTTATAATGTTTATTGTAAAGAAGCAAAAGATTTATGAAAAATTGCTGTTATAAATAATAAAAAGATTAATATTGAAGATCGGCAAAAAACGGGAAACCTGTCGGAATAGGCGATGGATTACCGGAATCGACCTGTAATTTGATTATTTGTGAACTTTTTAAATACTTCTTTTGCATGTTTTTATAAGATATAACCATTTTCAACGATATTCATTTTTGTAAGTAAATTTGCTTTTGATTAGTAAAACAAGAGACCTAAGATCGGCGAATTACTGTCATACTGCCGATATAGGGGAAGGATGGGCGTGATCAGCCTGTATATTATAGTTATTTTTATGTTATTTTATTGAATGAAAAAAATATAATTGATATAAAAAGATTTTTTTAGAAATAAAGGTCACTTCTTATTATAAACTGGATATCTAAGATAGACTAATTACTATCATAGTGCCTGTATTAACAGGTAAATACCGGAATTAGTCTGTTATTTTGTTATATTTCAGAGTTTTAAAAATATCTTGCCATATTTTATTAAATACAAACAATTCAAATGATATTTGATAACATTTATTGCAATTGCTATTGCATAATAAACAAGGTGATCTATGATTTCTTCCATACTACCGAATCGACGAGCGATTACCGGAATCGGCTTCACTTCGTCTAGGATTACGAATTTACTGGAATCGGTTCTAATTTTGTTATGAATGTGAACTCAATATTATTATTATCATTTATTTTTGCATGTATTTACAAACATAATCATTGATCTTTTATGGAATAATGCAATATCGTCTTTAAATTATATTTTTTCAGGACATTGCTAACAGAGGCTTGTTTGAAATGACGGATAACAATAGGTCAGTTTAGCCTTTCTTTATGTTTGCATTACTCAATTCTTGATTTCATAAAGTAGTCGATTTATAATTACATGCAATAATTTTTATTTGAATCTTTATTTAAACAATACAAACCTCATAAAATATTCACATGAAATCAATGTTTTACCAGGCAGTTAAATCGTACTTACTTGACAGTTCATACATACATTCATATACATCACATTAAAAAACTATTGTGTGCTTATTTGGGATGTTCGCGGAAAATGTCATTATTAATTCAGTGTCATAAGCCAGAGACATAGATAACTACATGTATATATCATAGTCCTTTACTTAAAAGATCTTCTTCCATTTTTAGCTCACCTGTCACAAAGTGACAGGGTGAGCTTTTGTGATCGCTTTTTGTCCGGCGTCCGTCCGGCCGTCGTCCGTCCGTCCGTAAACTTTTGCTTTAAATGACATCTCCTCATAAACCACTGAGCCAATTTCATCCAAACTTCACAGGAATGTTCCTTTGGTGGTCACCTTTAAAAATTGTTCAAAGAATTAAATTCCATGCAGAACTCTGGTTGCCATGGCAACCAAAAGAAAAAACTTTAAATATCTTCTTTTAAAAAATCATAAGAGCTAGAGCTTAGATATTTGGCATGAAACATCTTCTAGTGAGTGTCTACCAAGTTTGTTCAAATAAAAGCCCTGGGGTCAAAATTGGCCCCGCCCCAGGGGGGCATTGATTTTCCCTATATGCATATAGTAAAAACTTAAAAAATCTTCTTTTAAAGAACCGTAAGAGCTAGAGCTTAGATATTTGGCATGAAACATCTTCTAGTGAGTGTCTACCAAGTTTGTTCAAATAAAAGCCCTGGGGTCAAAATTGGCCCCGCCCCTGGGGGTCATTGATTTTCCCTATATGCATATAGTAAAA